TCTCCATTGAACCCTCCCAATAAACTAGTGTACCATATATATTAATTATTCTCTTTGTTTTATTTTTTTTGGCCACACCACAGGGCATGTGGGATCTCAGTTCCAGAACCAGCGATGGAACCCATGCCCCCTGCAGTGGAAGCATGGAGTCCCAACCACTAGATCACCAGGGAAGCTCCAGTAATGTGAAAACTCTTCTCTGCAGCTTTGGCTAAATTTCCTTTGCTTTTCTTTCTTTCCTCCCTCCCTCCTTCCTTCCTTCCTTTCCTTCTCTCTTTCTTTCTTCCTTCTTTTCTTTCTTCCTTTTCTTTCTTTCTTCCTTTCTTTCTTTCTTTTCTTTCTTCCTTTCTTTTTCTTTCTTTCTCTCTCTTTTTTGTATCCTCTCTCTCACTTGCTTCCTGGCCCCTCCCTTTAGTGGGCTTTTACAAGTCTAGGTGTCTTACAGCGATTTACAAGTAGCTGAGTCTTAGATTTACCAGTTCTACTGATTTTTATGTTTTCCGTCTCATTAATTCTTACCTTTACTTTTAATTCTCTCCCTAGGTTTATCTTGTTGCTTATTTTCTAGCTTCCCAAGTTGGATGCTTCATGAAGTTTCAGTCTTCCCCATTTAACAACACAAACATTTAGAGCCATGGGAGTACTTGTTTACATTCCATGGGTTTTGCTATGTGAAGTTCCAATTGTCATTATGTTCTGAATGGCCTATCATTGCAGTTTTGTTCCCTTCTTGGATTTATTTAGGAATAAATTTCCAACTGGTTTAATTTTCTTTCTGTTTACCCTTTTGTTTTCAATTTCTGTTTCTTTTTCTTGCTTTGCGGTCAGATAATGTGGCTGGAAACATACTGCTTGTTAGTACCTCGGAGGTTGTCTCTGTGGCTTAGAATGGCATCTGTTTCTGTCAGTTCTTTACAGATGCTTGAATGAAATGTCTTTTCTGTTTGTATTTATTTATGACACTGAACTTATTTTTTCCAAGCTGACATTCCTTGGAGCATGAGTCCTGCAAGTAGCTCTGGGGATCCCGGTGCCACCAGCATGGACCCAGAAGTCCTCAGGCAGAACCACCATGGACCTTGCCCCGCTCAGTGTCTCCTGAGGGCGGCCTTTTCTCCCAACACCTCATACCACCTCGAGCAGCTAGTTTTCCATGGAACGTATTTCAGAAAATCCTGTTTTAAGGTTTTCTCTTATTTCTTGAGGATCAGCTATTTATGAAGGGTCATGGGACAGGCATACCTCGTTTTTAGGGCACTTTGCTTTATTGCGTTTTTTACCAATGGAAAGTTTGTGACAACCCTGCATCGAGCAAGTCTATTGGCATCATTTTTCCAATAGCATTTGCTTACTTCATGTCTCTGTGTCACGTTTTGGCAATTTTTGCAATATTTCAAACTTTTAAATTATTATTATATGGGTTATGGTGATCTGTGTTATCAGTGATCTTTGATGTTACTATTGTAAAAATATTACGACTCCCTGAAGGCTGAGATGATGGTTAGAATTCTTTAGCCATAAAGTACTTTTAAATTAAAGTATGCAGGGGCTTCCCTGGTGGTGCAGTGGTTGAGAGTCCGCCTGCCGATGCGGGAGACACGGGTTCGTGCCCCGGTCCGGAAGGATCCCACATGCCGCGGAGAGGCTGGGCTCGTGAGCCATGGCCGCTGAGCCTGCGCGTCCGGAGCCTGTGCTCCGCAACGGGAGAGGCCACAATAGTAAAAGGCCCGTGTACTGCAAAAAAAAAAAAAGTATGTAGATTGTTGCTTTAGACATAATTGTGTGACTATTGCACACTATAGTGTAAACCTAACAAGGGAAAGTTCGGGGCGGGGGGGTGGGTAGGAAGCACCCCATCACTATATGATCTTCCTCCAGGGATGCTTGGAAGGGGATGCTGGCACTGGGAGAGAAGCTGGCCTGAATGTCATCAGAAGTCTCTCCGAGGGAATGCCCTGGAGGTCCCTCCAGGGAATGGAGGACTCCGTGCTTCCACTGCAGGGGGCAGGTGTTCGATCCCTGGTCAGGGAAATAAGATGCTGCATGCTGCACGGCACAGCCAAAATAAATAAACAAACAAACAAAAAAAGAATTCTCTCCAAGCCTGAAGGATTCGGATTCATAGTGACTCTGGTTCTCCATCCCACCCCATAATGATAATTGCTGACTTGGCTGGCCAAGACACACAAGTTTTCATCTTCAGGAAACATTGTTTCTGCACATTCTATGACCTCTTCTCCATGCCTGCTTTTCCAGCTGTTGGCAGCATCTCTCAAGATGATCAGAGCGGGAAGGGAGGGAGAGAAAGCAGATCTGACCTCGCTTGCATTATTAGTCTCTGACATGCACAGGCCTGAGAACTGCTGCCCAGACAGGTGTGTCTGCATCCCTCTCTCCCCTCCTGTTGCCATGGTGAGGGACCTGTCAGGTCCCAGGCATGAAGTAGATGCTTGGAGAAGGCTGCAGGCTGGAGGACCATTCAAGACGTCTGTTAAAAACATTAACAAGCCAGGCCTTCCCTCCCTCTGTAATGGATTAAATGTTAGCCTGCCCCGCTAATGGGTGCTTGGCCACAAACAAACATACAACAGCTAATGCCCTGTTCCTCATTATGTGGATTTCAGTGACAGAAGAAATGCTTTCATTATCATCTCCATTAGCAGACTTACAGATGCTTGAATCATTTGAGTCTGGGCCACCCCTGGTCACAAGCATGAAAGAGGCTAGGGGACTGGGAACAAAAAAACATTGTCAACATCATCAACAAACACCATCCTGGGCTTTGGGGACACATCAGACAGATGCTGAACCACTTGTTAGCTCCCAGTAGGGCCAAGAGTTCCTTCAATACTGGGTTGCAGGCTTAGAGGAAATGGGCTCTCTGTCACGTAAATGGTGTGGAAGTTACAATTTACCAAGGACTCCTTCTCAGCAAAGTATACCAGGAGCCATGCTTGTGTATAGGACATTCAAGTTGGTGGTGGGATACAGCAAGCATGACTCTGCAGGTCTCTCATTCCTCACAGGGGACAGCTTAGCTTCGTTGGAGACACTAGGATTCCCATCAGTGCAGAGTAAGGTCCTGGCCAGAACCCAGGAAGCCCCCAGTGAGCACTTGTTGAGCGTTTTTCACCAAGTCTGAGCTAGGACTTTGGGTTTTCTCTCTTGGGGAGAAGGCATGCTCTGTATGTGTGGAGAAAAGTGAAAAAAATACTGGTGACAAAAAGAACAGAATGGGGACATTCTTAGGACTCTTGTCAAAGTTCCTATTCGCCTCCTTCTGTACATGTGACAGGCCTGTAGTTCCTCAACCCCTGAAGTTAGGTGTGGCCATGAAACTCACTTTGGACAATGAAATGTCAGTAGAATGAGCATTTATCATTTCAGTGGAAGTAAAAGAATAAGGTAGAAGTGATCATTGAAGAGACAATGCCTGACCATTTTCCAAAACAAATGAAAGACACTAATTCATAGATTCCTGAGGTCCAACCAACAAATAAAAGGAAAGAATAAATAAAAAGAAATCCACAGGTCGACATCGTAGTGAAACTGTAGGAAAACCAAAGATAAGTTCTTTGAAACAGACCTATGAAAAGACATAGATTCACTTCAAAAAAAGTGAGGTAACCATGGGATTCTGAATTCTTAACCACAGGATAGAAGTTAGAAAGAAACTGGGCTCTGCTTCAACATGAAGAAAGAAAATAGCACAGCTACTCTCAGCAAAAATAACTTCGAGAAGGAGGGAGAGATAAATACACTTTCAGACAAATGGACTCGAAAGAGTTTGTCAAGAGGAAATTCTAAAAAAAGAAAACTGAGCAGAAACAAAGCAATCCCACATGGTGAGTCTGAGATGCAAAAGCAGATAGAAGTAAATGTGAGCACAAGTGTAAACAAACCAGCAATACTATCTTGTGAGGTTTCCTTTAAAATTAGGCTGAAATACAGGGAACAATAACATAATAAGTCAGGAGGGAAGCAAATGAAGAAAAAGCCCTGTATTATCCAGGAAGAGGGGAATACTTATCAACTTTAAGCCTTGATAAGTTATCTATAAATGCTTTCATTGTAGAGTAACCACGAAACGATTAGTTCTACAATGCATAACTTACAAAATAGTGAAAGAAATGGGAAGGTTTTTTTAACGTCTATTTAAAATAAGGGAAGAAAGGAGAAAAAAAATGAACCAAAGAGTAGGCTAGGAAGCACAAAATAAGATGGTAGGTTTAAACCCAAATATATCAGAAATTATATTAAACATGTAGGTTTAAAGACAGGTAAATAATAAATTAGGAGTTTGGGATTAGTAGATACAAATTATTATATATAAAATAGATAAACAACAAGGTCTCACTGTATAGCACAGGGAACTATATTCAATATCCTGTAATAAACCATAATGGAAAAGAATATATATATATATATATATATATATATATATATCTGAATCACTTTGCTGTACACCAGAAACTAACACAATATTATAAATCAACTATACTTCAATTTAAGAAAAAGACAACAGTTTTGAATGGCAGCTTTCCCCAAGCCCACCTTGTCCCTTGAAAGCGATGGGCAACAAGCAGCCTCTTTCTGATGACACACGCTGCCCATTGTGACTGTCCGTGACTGCCCCGAGACATCACATAGCTTGAGTCAGAGGCAAGGGCGGGCTGCCACATACCTTCTTCACCTGCCTGAGGGGCTGCTGTGGTTTGGGCTCTTGCATCTGCTTTGTGTGGTTCTTCTGTCTCATGTGCCATTTGATGACTGTCTGCTCTCTGTGCAGCTGCTCCTAATAGCCCCTTGTCCTTCTTCAAGCCACCGCTCGTGGTCTCAAAGAACAGGGAGCACAGGTTGTTCTGACATGCGCCAACAGAGTTCCAAGGGCCAACGCTGGCAGAGGACTGCTCCATCTTTCTTACCAAAGGGCTTTTCCACGAAGGACGTTTCCTTCTGACTCCGGGCATCGGACTCCTCTGCCTCAAGAACTATTTCCCATGGAGCCAGAAGCCTTAGAAATTTGCCCTTACAACCCTCGACACCGAATCCCACTCAGAAGATTTCAATACCACCTGGCATCATGCAGGAGGAAGAACCCCCAAAAAGCCAAAAAGATGGCCAGCTGCAAATACAACGCCTGCCACGTGTTCCCCATCAAAAAGCTGGAGGAGCACGAGGCTGCCTGTGTCAACAGAAGCACAGTGGAGGAAGAGGACAGCTTGAGCTCTCTGAAGTTCAGCCTTCCGAGTTCAGAGCAGAATGGAAACACCCCTCCAGTGTCCCGCTGGCTCCCCAACTCCGATGTCTGGAATGTAGATAGCACGAATTCCCACCCCATGTTTGTCCTTAAGACTTTTGTTCCCCAAAAGCTTACTTGTGCAGTCGACGCGAGAGAGTCAGAGAGAGAGGACCACACCCCATCCCTGACCCCCCGGCCAGAAGATCATCAGACCAGGAGAGTAAACCACCAGCCGCAGAAAGGAGATGCAGGCGTCTTAAATGCATGAAAGCAGATGCAACTCACCAGAATAAAAGGCATACAAAGTCAACTACAGTGGGATGCTTCTTTTTACCTAACGGATAGGTTTAATATCACTCTGCTGACAAAAATGGGACAAAATGGGCACTTTCATAACATTGGTAAGAGAACGTAAGTTGGTGAACTTCCCTGGAGGGCAATTTGACAATAGCTATAAAAATTATCAACGTGATGGAGTAATTCTACTTCTGGGTTTTCATCCTGTAATATGTTCACACACGTGGACAATGAGGTAAGTACAAGGGTATTCGTGGCAGCATCACGTGTAGCAGCAAAAGGTCCGAACTGATCTAAATATCCGTTGGGAGTATTTGATTAAATAAATGATGGTGCCGCCATGTGATGGAATAGTATGCTACCGTGAAAAAGAGCGAGGGCACTCTTTCCGTAAGACGTGGAAAGGCTAAGACATGTTGTTTAACTCAGAGACGAGCACGCTTTTTCTATAAAAGGCCAGAGAGTAAATATTTCAGGCTTTGCGAGTCATATGGTCTCTGTCACAACTATTCAGCTCTGCCTTGGTAACATGACAGCAGCCACAGGAAATATGTAGACCATGAACAGAACTGTTTACAGAAACCGGTGATGGGCTGGATTTGGCCTGTGGTCTGTTGTATGCCAAGCCCTACTGCAACGGATCAAAGCCAAGTCCATGCCACTGTTTTTGTAGATGTGTGGAAGAGGACTGTGTAGGGATGTGCTTGTACTTGCATAGAATTTCTCTTCAAGGGTACATTAGTACAGGGGTCTTCCCACAAAGCCTGAAATGTTCTCTGTCTGATCCCTTACAGGAAATAAGTGCTGCCCTCTTCCCTAACATCAGCTGCCCCAGGGAAGACAGCTAGGTGACTGCAGGACAGGGAAGAGAGAGTTTTTACCCATAGTACCTTTTATATATGAACACACTTGAATGCATCATCTGGTCAAAAAATTAAAATACACATTTTTTCTAAAACAGCAAAAGACTTAAATCTTTTGAAAGTTTTTCAGAAGGAAGTCTTAACTGCTAAGTTTTTTTTAAGTACTCATAACCTTGTCACCCCTGGCCCCTTCAACTGTTTCTACAAAGTGTTACATAAAGATTTCTTCTTGGAAAAAAAGAGAAGTTCTGGGTGTTGGCCCTTGAAATTCCATGGTTAATAAAATGCTTGGACTAGAGAACTGCCACATAGGAAGTAGGTGAAATAAGAAAGTGGTGTGTAGGGCATATAGCTGCAAACTTTAGGTCACCAAGACCAGGAGGGCTTCCCTGGTGGCGCAGTGGTTGAGAGTCCGCCTGCCGATGCAGGGGGCACGGGTTCGTGCCACTGAGCCTGTGCGTCCGGAGCCTGTGCTCCGCAACGGGAGAGGCCACAACAGTGAGAGGCCCGCGTACCGCAAAAAAAAAAAAAAAAAAACAAGACCAGGAAAAAAAGAGTAATTTGGTTTGCTTTATTTTACTATTTTACTATTCTCTATTTTTATATAAATTTGAAATCTTACATAATAAAAATAGTTTAAAATATATTTTAATATATTTACAATATATTTTAATAGAAAGATATATTATATCATACAATATTATATATTTTATATAAATTACATATATTATATATTTTAATAAAAAGTTTTAAAAATACATATATAAATTTGAAATCTTCCATAATAAAAATAGTTTTAAAATATATTTTAATATATTTTTATAATATATTTAATATTATATATAATATATAAAATATATTAGATATATTATAAAAATATATATTGGGGGAGGGATAAATTCGGAGTTTGGGATTGGCAGATACAAATTATTATACATAAAATAGATAAACAGCAAGGTCCTACTGTATAGCACAGGGAACTATATTCAATATCTTATAATAAACTATAATGGAAAAGCATATGAAAAAGAATATATATGTATATATAACTGAATCACTTTGCGGTATACCAGAAGCTAACACAATATTGTAAATCAACTATACTTCAATTTTTAAAAATTTAAGCATATATATTATATATTATGTACAAATGTATATTATATATTATACTTTTAATTAAAAGGTTTAAATATATATTTATATGCAATATATATTTTAAATATATATTATAGAAGATTTCAAATTTATATAAAAATAAGAGAGATAGTAAGATAAACTATATATGCATATATATAGTGTGTTTGTGTGTATATATATATATATATATATATATATATACGCTGAATGCAATGTGGTATCCTGGGTTGGATTCTGGAACAGAAAAAGATATTAGTGGAAAACCTGGTGAAATACAAATAAAGCCTGTAGTTTAGTTAACAGCATTCTACTGATGTGAATTTCTTAGTTTTGCTGAGTGCTTCCCTGGTGGCGCGGTGGTTGAGAATCCGCCTGCCGATGCAGGCGACACGGGTTCGAGCCCTGGTCTGGGAAGATCCCACATGCCGCGGAGCAACTAAGACCGTGAGCCACAACTACTGAGCCTGCGCTCTAGAGCCCGCGAGCCACAACTACTGAAGCCCGCGCGCCTAGAGGTGGTGCTCCGCAACAAGAGAAGCCACCGCAATGAGAAGCCCGCGCACCGCAACGAAGAGTAGCCCCAGCTCGCCGCAACAAGAGAAAAACTGGCACGTGGCAACGAAGACACAGGGCAGCCAAAAATAAATAAATTAAAAAAACACTTGTTAGCAAGCGGTGACAGTGACCACAGCAAGCCAGTGCTGGGCTGGGTGCCAGTGATTGAATCAGAGCTGAATGGGCTGGGGAAAGGTAGGCCCCGCAGCCCTGGGTAGCGGGCGAACTTTCCAATCTCATGTTTGAGGATTCCTGGCAAAGGAGGAGTCTGGCAGAAAAGCCATGTGCTCAGGCAGAGGGGGCTCTGGCACAGCAGAGGAAGGAGGAAAGAAAGGGGGGCGACCCTGGGGCAGGTGCCTTGTCCCAGGCACAATCCTGAGGGGAAAGTACTTTTATTTCCAATATACAGACGTGAAAAGTGTCTCAAAGAAGCTAATTAAGTTGCCTTGGTTCACAAAGCTAGTGAGTGGCAAGTGGCCTAATGAAATTGAACCGATCCGCAGCAGCTCTACTCCTAAATTTGTAGAAACCAGAAATACGTACGTGAGTTTGCCAAAAGATGAGGACAGCTCTTCACAGCAGCCCTATTTATAATGCCAACCTGAAAACGCTCTACCTGTCCTTCAGGAGAAATGGGTGTAGTATGGAAATGTCCCACGATGAAACACAATACAGTCATGAGAATGAACCAACTATAACTACCCAGTCAGCACGGGTATTTTCACATAAAGTGAAATTCAGTTTACACAATGTTGTTTTGGAAAAAGCAAGATAAATCGATGGTGTTTGAATTCAGGATGGTGGTTACCCTTGGCGGGGTAGGGAGGGGGGTTCTGGGGTGCTGGTCATGGTCTATTTCTCAATCACCATACTGGTTACCTGAGTGTGTTCACTTTGTGAAAATTCATCCAGCTGATCACTTGGGATCTGTGTATTGTCCTGTATGTTGAAATTCCATGGAAAGTCTTGAGAAATTGAACCTATACCTAATGTAGATGCTTTCTCTACTGTTTCTGACTCCCTGGCTAAGAAACACATGGTTACACGAAACAGGGCACTAAAGTGCTGGCCTTAACTGGGCTCACGTCCTGACTTGACCACGTTCTAGTAACTTCTGCTCAGAACAGTCAACTGAAACATGGACACTGACTTCTCGTTTGCAGGGTTCTTGTGGACAGAAAGAAATGAGAAAGCATTTTGTAATAATATCATAAGAGCCCATGTTTTCTGAGCCCCAAGTGTGTGCCAGTGTTCTACCCAACCCCTTCAACAACTCTGGAAGGTTAAGGGTTCTCCCGTTTTATAGCCAAGAACTCCAAGGCTCAGAGCAGGAAAGAGCCAGGCTGGGATTCACATCCAGGTCTGTCTGATCCAAAGTCAGAGCTTTATCCGTGGCTACCAGGAAACCCCTGGAAAGCTTGCCAGGTGTCCTGGGTAACAATCAAGACACAGGCATCGTCACAATGGCTCTGGATTCCGGAATCCTTCCTCCCACTTATTTCCAACAAAGTTCCTGGCCTCCTAAGTTCCTCCTCCACGCTGTTGAGCCCACCGTGCACCGTTCATTTCCTCAGGGTTCTTTAGCTGACACAAGCTACCTTCCTATCGGCTAGTCATTGTCACATTAATGCTGTGTAACAAACCACTCCAACATTAAGTGGCTTCAAACAACATTCTTATCATGTGTCATTTGGGGGTTGGCTAATCTAGGTCCACAAAAAAAAGCAGAAAAAAGAAAAAAGGGACACCGCCACCAGTGCCTGCAGACCTCACGTTTTTTCCCAGTGCATAACACTGACAGAATTGATGATATGCTTGACCAGAAAACACAAATTTCAACACATTTCAAAGATTTGAAGCCACAGAGACTCTGCTCCCTGAACACAGAAGAATTAAGCTAGGAATCAACACTAAAAAACCATGAAGGCTTCCCTACCCGTCTAGTCCTAGCTGCCCTAGGCTTCCCTCTTGGCCACATCACATCATGGCAGGATGAGGTATCAATTAGCACCTACTGGGTACCAGGCCTGCTACTCAGGGAGAAGGACATCCCCCATGCCTTTCTGAAGAGCATTTGAGACTCAGGCTCTGTACCTGTCCTTGTCAGACTGTCCCGTTCATTACGTACTATAACCCAAATACCTATAGGTCAGCCCTAGTTAATAGACAAAACAGCGTCCTGACCAGCTTGAGACCACTGGTCTGTACCAGTGAAAAGTTTGATTTTCAACTCATATCGAAACTCAGCTTTAGTTGCTCTCAAACACATCCAGCCAAGGGTGGAAACATAAAATCTATCTTAGAGGGGGTTAAATCACTGTCATTACTGCATCAGAGCCTTGGTGATCTCTGGAAATAGCTGGAACATAGAA